CTCTCAGGGTGCTTGCGGCAATGGACAACAAAGCATTAACATGCTTTGCTTCAGATAAGTGAAGCTAAAAACCATCAGGCCAAACTATTGTACATAGTACGCTATTAATCCGGGATTGGTCACAGGGTCAGGCCTTCCAGAAGTATCTCCTGTGACCAATTTGTGTATTTTTTAAAACACAAAGTGGAGACCATCTTCTGGGGACCAACACCACCAATTCTGACCAGTAAATGGAGCTGAGACATCCACTGCGCTGCCTTGTGATGTTAGCACCATTTCAACCTGTGGCGTCAGATAAAGTTGACAGGGTGCTTGCTTGCTGCAGGGCCCCAGCAACCTCCTTAGATCCTTGCCCAGTTTGGCTCAAAAGCAGTTACGCCTATAATGATGGAGTGGGTGGTTCTCTCCGGGAGGGCAAGGTTCCCCATGCCTTCAAGGAGACACTCATTAGGCCTGTCCGCAAAAAAAACACACATCTTGCTGCGGATGATATTAACAACTATAGACCCATTGCTGATGTTCCATTCTTAAGCAAGGTAGTGTAGAGGGTAGTTCCAGTCTGGGTTCAGGCCGCATCATAGCACGGAAAGGGCATTGGTTGCCCTGCAAGATGAAATTTTGAGGGAGACTGAAGGGGCAAAATGTCCCTGTTGGTCCTTCTTGACCTCTCTGTGGCCTTTGATACTGTTGACAACACTCTCCTCCTGGGGAGGTTTTCTGGGCCGGCTTTGTCCTGTCTCTGTTCCTTCATCGAGGACCATCCTCAGAGAGTGCAGCTTGGGGAGATGATGTTCACCCTTTGTACTCTTAACTGTGGAATCCCTCGGGGTTGATCATCTCCATGATGCTGTTTAATATCTCTATGAGACCCCTGGGGGAGTCATCAGGAGTTTTGGAGCTTCAGGTCACCAATATGCGGATGATACCCAGCTCTCTTCTTCCATCTGTCTGCAGTGGATGCCTTTCTATCCCTTGAGCACTGCCTGGATACCATGCTGGAATTGATGAGGGATAACAGACTGAGGCGGAACCCAGACAAGACGGAGATTCTGTGAGTGGGCGTCCCTAGTGTCTGTGGACCTTTCATTTGGTGGAGCTCTTCTCTCTGTGAAGGTTGAGGTTTGTAGTCTGGGTGTACTCCTGGACCCTGCACTGTCAGTGGAGTCTCAGGTAGTATTGGTGGCCCGAGCGACCTTTTTCCATCTGAGGCAGATCACCCATCTACCTTGGCACCGCGGCCTCACTAGGCTGGATCATGTACTGGTAGTCTCAAGATTAGACTACTGCAATTCTCTCTATGTAGGGCTGCCCATGAGGCTGCTACAGAAATTTCAGCAGGTCCGGAATATGGTGGCCAGATTGCTGAGTGGAGTGAAGAAACACCAACATATCTCCCCTACACTGGTTGCCTTGCACTTCAGCATTTGTTGAATCCTTGTTTTATTCATTTTTTAAATACTACCCCAATGGTGTAAGTTTCTTGCCACACAGCTGAACTGTGGTCTGGTGCCCCATCCCCTCTGGCAGGCGTGCACTTGGAGGCAGCCCTCCAGCTGTGCTGCCTCTGAGCAGGCGCCCCCCAGAGAGGGCAAGATGCTGAAACACAATCAATTGTGTGGCTGTCGGATGAACTGACACAACCCACCAAATTGACGGTTTATGCCCATTTCTACTAAGAACAGCAAGTGTTATTAATTTCCATTCTTTCTTTTTTCACATAGCCACCACATATGTAAATACGTCCCCTTCTCTTTTTTGCAACTCCAACATAATGTTGACACAGTTTTGTCCGTCATATTCCTTTTGACCGTGTTAAATACCACCTCCATATTACTTTATAACAGTTTTCTATTAGGCTTGCAGTTCCTTTTCTTTCTGTCTTTTCCTCTGATTTCAGTCTTTCTATAATCTCTTCAAATTTTGTCATTTCTCTACCTTTCCCTTCTTTAGTATACCATTCTCCTTAAGATAGCTTGGATCCAAACTATGTTAGGATTTATAGGTTAGAAACAACCCTTCAAATTGTGCCAAGAAACAGATTGGCAGCTACTGTACTGCTTATGTGACCCCTGTAACCAACCACAGTTAATAATCTCACTGCTACTTTATGAACCTGCTGAAGTTTCCATACACTTTCCAGTGGCAGCACCCCATAGAGCACATTACATAGAGCTTAGATGTAATTACACTGTGACCAGATCAGACCTCTCCAGGAATGGGCACAGCTGGCACTCTAGTTTTAATTGTGCAGTTGATTAAAGTCAAGTCCCCATTGGAACTGCTTGGTCTGTTCCAATTACTGTTCATAAGCCTTCATTTGTTTTTACCTCTGAGCTTGCATCTCCCTCCCCTTCCCAATTCAGTTTAAAGCCTTCCTGATGAAGTTCTTCATGCTGTGGCCAAACACATTCTTCCCATTCCTTGTGTGATAGAATTCATCACTTGACAGCAGTCCATCTTCCAGAAAGTGTGGCCCATGATCTTAAAAGTCTAAATCCCTCACATTGGCACTATATTCATAGTCAGTTGTTCACAATGAGTATTTTTCTTTCTGTTCTTCTGATTACTGTCTGAGTAAATTACTGTATTTGAGCCTCAAAGTCCTTGAATTTTCTTCCAAGAGCTTCAGTGTCTGATGTGATTTCTTTCTACATCTTTTTGGTTGTGTCATTTGTTCCTAGAAATGGATATGTATTCTGTGGGTTTTATGAGCGATGGTAATCCTTCTGTCACAGCCCTAATCTGTCCTCCAGGGAGACAACATACCTTTTTCTTTCATCTGAATTGATCAGTAAGGAGTTTTCTGGTGGGGAATCCACACTTGCTTAATTTTGTCCATAATGTGGAGCAGTTTGGACTTTCATGCATTTATTAACCTACTTCTTTATTGCCCATAATAGATATCTGTTTTGCTTAACTTCTCACAGAGCAATTAAAACTGGTGCCAATAAAGATTTTGTTATGTTCTAGGCAATATAGTGCATAGCAACATGTACAAATGCGCCTAAAAAGAATAGTTTTATAAAGTAGTACAGAAATACTATATATTGTCCAAATGGTAAACAATATTTCAAATGCACACAATATTACTATTTAAAGGTAACATTCACAATATTTTTTATATTTAAGTACCTAAGTACCCCTTTTCTGTCTTTAAATACAGTCACTTAGAACTGTGGATATAAAAGATTAGGAGACCTGATTTTTTCTTGATTAACATTTAACAGCTTAATCCTTTGGTATTGACTAGAGATGGGGGTATTCGTATACGAATATTCTCCCACAGGTGGCAATAATGAAGGCTTCCATGGGGCTGGACAGTCCACTCACCGATCTGCTGCAGATGCTGTGATTCTTCCAATGGCTTTGCAAATTGCGATCTGCTACCCACTCTTGGCAGGAGGTGGGAGGACCAGCCTCGCTGCAAGGTTGAAGAGTGGCTCGCAGCAGTGGCGGATTGGTCTGTGGACCGTTGGGCCCCATGGGGCTGGACCCTCGTTATTGCCACCTGTGCGGGTATATTTGTATACAAATACTCCCATCTCTGGTATTGACTCTTCAGTGCTGCTTCAAGGCATTATACATCTTGTTCAGCTTAGAAATGCTAGCTGTATCTAACAGTTTCTAAAAAAAAAAGTTTGATTATCAGAACCAGTGGATTTTCCTACAGAGACTGAAAAGTTTGCCAATTTTCTAGTTATAAATGCATACTTGGATGTCCTTTGAAGGCAACAGTATTTATGCTGTGTATATTAAATATTTGTAGGATTAATGTATAGTTTAGACATGTCTTTTAAAAGTAAGCTTAATTTATACTGGAAGTTGAATAAAAGTAATATTGGACTGCACTAGTGTAGAATGTATATACTGTAGTTAGTAATGTGTCCAGTGTGTAGAAAAGGTGCCTTTTGCTAATGTTTTCTGTTTGTTTGTTTTAGGACCTGTGGATTAAAAAAAAGGCCGAGAGCTTAATTTTTGTGCTTGAGCCCTGCTGTCAGAAACTGAAGTGTGAAAAGACCACAAAATGAAAATGCTTCCTGGTGTGGGGGTGTTTGGGACTGGAAGCTCAGCTCGAGTGTTGGTACCTCTGTTGAGAGCAGAAGGGTTCTCTATTGAGGCTCTCTGGGGGAAAACTGAAGAGGAAGCAAAGCAACTAGCAGAGGAAATGAACATTTCCTTCTACACAAGTCGGACAGATGATGTTTTGCTGCATCAGGATGTCGATTTGGTTTGCATTGACATACCCCCACCACTAACCCGGCAAATTGCAGTGAAGGCTCTAGGTAATGTATTTTTGTTGCTACTTGTTTGGGCTCTTATCCAAACAAGTATATATAAAGATGGAAAAATGAAGCATTCATAGAATAATTTTGGAAAGGGCCTATAAGGCTATCAAATCCAACCCCTGATCAGTGCAGTTTTATAATACTAGTTATTCAGCAGTTATCTAGTTATCTTACATTGGCTAGGATGTGAAGAAGAACTTAAGTGGAAGTGAATTGAAATAATTCACCTCCTTTTAAGTTCTTCCTTACTTCCCAGCTGGCATAAGGTCACTATTGCTGAAAACTGGCAAGCATAATATTGAATGCTTCTTTTTCCATCTTTATATCATATAGCTGTAGAATCCCAAAAACATTAAAACTTTGTCTTGACAATTGAGAGATATTACATACATTGGGTTGATATTTGTGCTTTGTTACAGATTATTGAGGCTAGTCCACGCACTCATTATTTTCTTTCATTTGGCATATAGGAAAATAATGGAATGTATGCAGGCAAATTATTGTATTTTGTTCTCTTGTTACTGGGTTTTTTTTATGCATTTGGTAAATAGATGTGTATAGCAATGCAGGGGCAATGGAAGGAGAGAGCTCTGTTTTGTGTATATATAATGTAGCCTTCCACATTTGCTGAATTGATTTGTGTATTTATTAACCAGAATGATACTTTTAATGTATGGTGAGGTTAATATATTTCAGGACTAAAATAATTATTATAATAATGATGATGATGATGAAGATGAAGCAATGTGGAAGTATATATTTCTCCTTAAGGAGAGCTTGACACAGGATGGCAGACCTGAGGAAAAATGGCTTTTTATAGAGTTTAGAAAGGGAAGCATTGTGTTTGGGATTAAATTACATTTGAAGGAGAGAGTAAAATGTAACAGCATGTTTTCCTTCTTGCCTGATCACTGGGTGGTTGCAAAGATTATATAGTGCTCCTTTTGTGTTATGGAAGAGATCTGGGCAGGGTGCAGAACTAAACAATATGTGGTCATTGCAAATGGTGTTGGGGATCCTTTCTATTACTGTGACATATAAATTACAAACACTGGGACAGATAAACTTTTAACTGAATGTTTGCTAGAAGTAGTAAATATATTGATTTCTTGCTATGCTGATACAGCTGTAGTATTGAAGAGAAAACAAGTTTAACAAACATATGACAAATAGAAAGATGAAAGGGTAGCAGGAGGCTTATAGAAAAATTAAGAGAAGAAAGGCAATCAGAAATTAATATTACTTATCCTGAAATTTATTCATTCTCAAACTGACTGAAAAGAGGAAAAGCACAGAACTCTATGTATAAGAAATAGATGGGCAGCATACTACAAAATTAAAATGAGAAACTTAGGTTGTCATGCTGTACATATTGGCCAAACTTTAGCATAGTAAGTTACAGTTAGCGTAGGCTCATTTGAATCAGTGAAAATTATGGAGGAATTTGACTCACTAACACCCATTGATTCAGTGGACCTACTCTAGTGCAATTTGCATATTACTATGCAACAGGATTTTGGCCATTGACTTGGGAGTAAGACTCAGTAAACCCTGTATGCCCTCTGTCTGAGCAAACATTTATAAGGTTGTATTGTTAATACAGAACACAAATTAACAAAGCATTAAAATAATCCAAGTACAGTACAGTGGTGCCTAACACAACGATGTTAATTGGTTCCAAAAAAATCAACGTTGTGTGAAACATCGTTCTGTGAAACACCATTTCCCATAGGAATGCATTGAAAACCGGTTAATCCGTTCCAATTGGAACAGATTGCCGTCTTTAAGTGAAAAAACCCATAGGAAACATCGTTGAGTGAAACAATGTTTCCTCCATTGGAATGTATTGAAGCCGACTCCATACATTTCAATGGCTTTGCAAAGTCATTTTTCGCTCCTGTAAAAGTGCCTTACAATGTTTGGACCAGGTTTTAAATGCTTGCATAGGGTCCAAACATTGTAAAGCACTTTTGCAGGAGCGAAAACGGACATTGGAAAGAGCTCTTTGATCTCCGTTTTCCTGCTTTTGAAGCTCTTTCCGATGTCCGTTTTCGCTCATTTAAAAGTGCCTTACAATGTTTGGAACAGGTTTTAAATGCGTGCAATCGTTAGCCCACCTTCTGAACCCTATGCACAATTTGGTGTTGTTCTGAGTCGTCCTTAATTTTTAGTGATTTTTTTAATTTTCTCTCATTGGAATG